CCCTGCACGGGCAGCACCTCTGACTCCCTGATTTACAATCTCTGCAGGTGGGACCCAGGCCTCAGCATTATTAAAGCTTCCTGTGTGATCCCAGAGTGCAGCCAAGTTTGAGAACCTGGAACATGAGTCAAGGCTATCCCAAATGCAAGAAAGGGCATTCTTGGGTTCTTCCGCTGCTGGGGTGTATCCCACTCGCCATCAGCCCGTCCCCCCTCTTTTCACATTACGTCACATGATGTCTGATTCTAAATGATTCCACCCCTTGCTAAACCCAAAAGAGAAATCCACTCCCACCCACCTTCCCAAGATTTCCTGGCCCTCTCCTCCTTACAACTGCTTAGAGGTTGGGTTTCTTCTGCTGTTAATCACTTGCTCATCAAGGCATGAATGAAGAGAGCATAAATGCTAATAGGGATAGAGGTGTCATGAAAAAGTTCCAGAAATGGCAGAAGGACATTCAAGTAGACTCGAGCTCTCCATGTGTCCACTAACAGCTGCTGTCTTGTGGAGATGGGGTCACTAGGCTGGATCGTCACTGCAGGATCCTTATGCCCTTGGAGTTTGCCCTGACGTTTTCAACAATGAAGTCTGTGTTCATTGTTTTATGCCAGTGGTTCTCAACTGAAGCAGTACTGCCCTTTAGAGGCAATTCTGGGTCTTTGTGGAGAGTTTTTTGGTAGTCACAGTGGTGGAGGCAAAACTGGCATTTAGCGGTCGTGAGCCAGGGGTGCTGGGTGTCCTAAAATGAGCTGCCAAGGAAGAACTGCCCCCTCCAGCAGGACCTGGTCATGTCCCACTGAACATTTAAATAAGTAATGATCAGAGCCGAGAGGCCAACTCGGTTTTACATATAAACAAGCTTTTTTGCATTTTTAAAATATGCAATAAAATTTCCAGGAATGTGTAAAATGAGAGCGAAATGTACTTTGCTTTGTTTGAAGCTGTAAACAGAATCGTTCACTATTTGGGAAAAGTCGCATCAGCAAACACGTTCATGGGGTTTGAGCCTCAAATGTGGCCTGTGCATTTGTCGCCGAATTCTGCTTATCGGGGCCGGCACGTGACGGCTTGCTTACATTACCGTTAGGGCATTATATTCTCTTTTGTTTTGTTTTTGCAACTGGGTGAGTAGGTAAGACATGTCATCAAGAATTTTATCTCGCACAAAACATCTGAAATTTAAAAGGGAGCGTAGGATCCGATAGGATTGAGACCCTCCTTCTCGCATTTCAAAGGCTGAGGGGCTGAACTGCCCACTCACAAGTCTGTGCCTGGGAGGCCTCGGGAAGCCAAACCCCTAGAAGCGCCTTTTAGGGGGCGCTTGGGAGCCGCTTAATCCCGGGAGCAGAGAAGACGCAGTTCAGCCAGGTACCGGGCGGAGGACTGCGGCCCGCGGGAGGGGCGTGGCCGGAGGGGTTGGGGCGTGGCGTGGGCAGGACCGGGGCGTGGCTTGGCTCGGCGGGGCGGGCCCCCCTGGCAGGTAGACCGATCTCCCCGTGGCCCTTGTCCCAAGCCTTCCGGGTCTAGTCCTCCGGCGATTTAGGGAAAAAGGAGTCGGCGATCCCAGGTACCGACTCAGCTTCACCTGTCTTCCAAGTGAGCTAGATGAGAATATTAATCCCCTGAGCGGAGCGCCTCTCTACCTACCCACCTTTTTTTTTTTTTTCCTTTTTATGAGGAGATCAGCCCTGTGCTAACATCTAACAATCCGCCTCTTTTTTTTGCCCAGGAAGACTGGCCCTGGGCTAACATCCGTGCCCATCTTCCTCCACTTTATATGGGACGCCGCCACAGCATGGCTTGACAAGCGGTGGTCCCTGCGCACCCGGGATCTGAACGGGCGAATCCCGGGCCACCAGAGCCGAGTGCTCGTACTTAACCGCTTGCGCCAGGGTCCGGCCCTACCTACCCATCTTTTGAAGGTGAGGCAGCCAAAATTTGCAATCCAATAACTCCTTAAAGGACGAGTTTTTGAATGATGCTCATTCGTTTGGTCCAGGAATGAAAAACTGCCCATTAACCCCTTCTTTCAGAGAGACCACCAGAGGGGCCCCCACGTGGAGCAGAATCGTCAAGTGCCTGCACCTCGCCTCATCCCAGATGTGCGTGCTGCAGTTTCCAGCTCTTACCCAGCCCATGTTTTCTACAGTGAGATGGGGAGGGATAATGACAGTAACTTTCTCCCAGGTTTTGTGAGGATATGCAAAACACTTGAGCATTATTCCTGGCCCATAATGCGCAACAGATGGCAGCGATTGTTGATGTTCACAGACACAAGGATTAAGGACCCCCCATAAATGCTAGGCAACTAAACAAATTAAGCATTTTCTGTAAATCCAAGGTATGCACTGTACGCTCCCCTGCCTTCTTGGTGGAATATGTTAAGCAGAACTTGACCTTCCTGCCTACAGGTCATCAGGGTCAGCTTTTGTCTCTAGATGGCCCTGAGCCCTGGCAGGCTCTGGGATTCTCTCCTCAAAAGCGCTCTTGTGATCACTATTTCTTTTAAACATTATCTCCTCAGGACCAGAGATCAGAGAGTGCACGTTTGCCTGTGGCCAGTGGTGTGTTTTCCTGGACAATGTCACCTGGTTACTTTTGCAAAATTACCTTTTGAAATTTTGGTTGAAGCAGTCTTCATTCCTCTCCTCTCCCCAAAACACTTCCTGGTGGCTCTCAAATGCCTTCGCATTTACAGAGCCTTGGAGAAGGGAGGAAGTTAGCTTGAATTATAGTCGGGAAGCCGCCTGGGTTGGCCATGAACCTGGCTGAGGAGGGGAGTGGCCAAATCCGCTCTCAGCCCCCAGTGGATGTGTCCAATTTTCCTCCAGGGTCTTGCCCCTGGCACTCAGCTCAGGGATGGGCATCAGCTCCTCTCACCATCTGAGGGGTCTGGGTGGGGAGATTTGGGAGCCCGTTCTCCCAGGCCTGAGAATGCAACCTCACACAAGGACCACTCTTCTGTAGCCGTGATCCCAGAGCTTTGGCTTTGCTCCGAGTTTGTGCAAATATTTGTTTTACTCTGGAAAGAATTCCAGTCACAAGCGGCATTAAAAGAAAAGCAGCCTTTTTTAATGCTGTAACACTATTAAAATTTCTGTATTGTACCTGCGAGGGCCAAATGCCATCACCTCCATGAAACAACCTTTCCTCTGGGCTCCTGCAGCCCATTGTTAGACTTGTGTTTCTTCCCTGCCTGCTCGTGTTGGTGCCCCCCCTCCCCAACTAGACCAGAAGCCTTTTAAGGGCAGTGTCCAGTCATCATTGCAGCAGTGATAAGGACAACAGCAGCCTAACTAGCCTTTATTGAGGTTGCAATAAATGTCAGGCTCTGTCTAGAATTTTCTGTACATCGTATTGAATCCTCCCATCAATCCTATGAGGGAGGTTCCGTTATGAGTCACCAGTAACAGATGAGGAAAGCGAGACCTGCCCAAGGTTGCACAACCAGCAAGTGACATTGATTGATGATTTGTTGAATGAATCTGAGAAGCCCCCATGGTTTATTTCTAAGAATCTTTCTCAGATGTAACAATCTGTTAAGTGAATGATGAACTTAAAAGATAACAGTAGTTTAACAAAATCTGAAAATCCAGCAGCTCCTCCTACCTAACATCATCCACTTTAGATGTTAAAGGAACTGAGGTGTCTTTGTGTTAAGTGTCGTCATAGGCAGCCCATGTACACCTGGATTCAGTTCCTCCAATTACGGTGGTTTGGGTGCATGCTTGAGTCCATGTTGACCTTCCCCTTACTTGGTGACCATGCTCTATCCTTCACCACATTGGCTGGAATTGACCATCACCCGTACATCCTGCCAGGGCTCTGGGAAGTCTGAAGTTACACTGAAAACGTGAGCCACAATCTGCTGTTTCGCTGCTTACAAAGAATTCTCAGCTTGTCCACACACAGGAGCAAGTAAACGGGCATGACTCTGCTAGCTACTACTTGATATTTTAATGCAATGTAGTTGTCGAGGAGATTGTGGGACACGATGGAAATGTTGGAACCTTTTGTACCTAAAAAGTACAAAATAATGACTTTCCTGTATGCTCCCTGAAACACATGATTACAATTAATATAGCGTGTAGAGATGTAATAAAATATTTCTGGTGAAGGCATCCCAGCTCAGTAAGCTTGAAGCTTGGGACACCAACAAGCAGGTGCTAAAAGTAATAATACTACTCGCACTTGACATCAAACCACCAAGTTAAGTATTTCAGAGGCAACAAATAATGATAAGCAGGTTCCCAAGATGGTTCTTGTAGTCAATTCATAATCTTGGTATTATTTTCACTAACTTTTCTCCCTGTGTTCTCAAATGAATATGTATAGTGTAATGTTAGCTAGCATATTTCTCTCTAGACTAACAATATTTTTTAAAATTGAGAACTCAAAAAAAAAAAAAAAAGAATCCTAGTGTTACAGTCATTTGATTTCCACTTTACTTCTGCTGGAAATTTAAAAAAGAAATAGAAAGTACTAAGAGTCTCTCTGGCACATGAGGGTGGAAACTCTGTATCCAAGTTTGCTTTCTTCTTCTTCTTCTTTTTTTTTTTGCTGAGGAGGATTAGCCCTGAGTTAACATCTGTTGCCAATCTTCCTCTATTTTTTATGTGAGCTGCAGTCACAGCATGGCCACCGACAGACGAGTGGTGTAGCTCCGTGCCCGGGAACCAAACCTGGGCCACCGAAGCGGAGCGCATGAAACTTAACCACTAGGCCATGGGGGCTGGCCCCAGGTTTGCTTTTTCTAGCCAAACCTTGATAAACCACAGAGAAGAGAGTCAGCAGGTTACATGGGAAGGCACCACATTGCAATGAATTTATCCAGAACTCACCATGAGTCATCTTGGAGCTTTCAGAGAATTAGAGCTTTCAGAAAACCAGTTTGTGTCTGGTTACGTGTTCCTTATAATGCCCTCAAAGCCAAAACCATTTAACTTGGTAACAGTTATGTTGTGTTGACTAGGAAGTAGTTGTAGTCACAAGATACAAAAAATAATAAGCATGCAGCCCTTTATTTAGTTTTGCAAAGTCTCTGCTTATAGTTCTGTACATTACATGACTGTGTTATACAAATACATTTATTTACAAAAACACTCTAGCTGTGCAAACTTGTTGCTTTTTAAAAATGTACGGAGAGTCCCATTTCTGCTCATCCCAACCTATATTTTTAAAGCATGCATAAAAATTAACTTTGGTGTGGGAAAACTACTCTATGTGCTGTCACATACAGTATTTTTATGTCTATTTATATATTTACAAAAGTTGATCAGTTTACAGAACCGTAGAGAAGTGCACATTTTAAAATCCACAATGCAATAGTGTGGGTTACCAGGTCTCAGAAAACAAAGGAAGGGGTTAGATACTGCAAAGAAAGCAACTAGAGAATCCCAACATGTTAAAAAGCAAAGAAAACTAGCTTTCTTGGGCTGGCAAATTATTATACATAATTTTCATGGCAGTGCAACAGGTTTGATAAATTGCCTTCTACATATGCCTCTGGTTGGCCTGTGTAGAAGTTCATTGGCTTATTCTCTAGCATACTACTTTCAAATGTACAATGCTATAGTATCAAAATGTTTTGGCAAAAAAGATCTTGAAAGGAACCATGAAGTTTTGACAAAAATAGAAATCTGTAATAAAGCTAAATAACACTAAAATAAAAGGAAATATTATAGTATCTGTTTTACAATTTGTATAGTCACACTTGTGTATTTCTCTGTTCACTTCGAGTCTCCGTAATGAAAAATATTTTTATACAAAACATACTAAAATTCTGGAATCATACATGTTTTACATGCTTAGTACATTTTTTTCCTGTCTCACACACATTCTTTCTCGCCACACTCTCTTTTCATAACACATGCTTACTTCATTTAACAGGTATTGAGTATAGACAGTAAACACTATGTAATTACAACAGCAACAAAGTAAAAAAACAAACAAGCTTTACTGAAATCTATTAATCCAGGGTTTAGCACATACTTAGCATTAAGCCTCAAACAGTACAGCAATATGTTACATTCTCTTGTGAAAACAGTTGTTGAAGACTATTAAAAAAAATTTTTTTTTAATGTAACTCCAACTTGTGCCTAATAGGATTTGGCCTTTAAGAGGTTTCCTTTGCTGTGGACGGGGTGGCTTTGCTTGAACTTCCATTCTGTGCCTTGTAGCTGGTGAGGCTAGGAGTATGGATGGTCCTGATGCTCTTGGCACCCTGATTCAGTGAAGTGGGGGAGGCGGGGGAGGGTGGGGAGGAGGAGGAGGAAGGGGCTGCTCGGCCATTTTGAGTCTGCAGTGAGAATGAAAGATGGTGACCTTTACCTGTATGAGTGGGGCTCTGAAACTTTAAAGAGCCATTAGAGACAGAGGGGATGAGGGAGGCAGAGGGAGCAGATCGTCCTGTTTGGGGGCTGAGAGGGTTAGAAGTAACCAATGGTTTAGTAGCAGATGGATTAGGGAGGTTAGAACTGTCACCACTACAAGAGGGCAGAGAACTGCTTTTCCCAGAGCTGGGAGAAAGGGCTGGAATCTTAGAAGCAGGTAAGGAGGGGAAAGTAGGCTTACAGTCCCCACCAGCTTTCTTAGCATTTCCATTAGCCTGCAAACAAAGATGGTGGGAGACAGTTCGTCAGAAAGCTGGTAACACGATCAACCCACAGGGTCTGGCAACATAGCCCTTCTGAGAATAATTAAATAAAAGAAACCAAACCAAACCAAACCAGTTCAAGGCCTGAGCTAAATCTTGCTGTGCTGTACTGGACCTGGTAGAAACCCCCAAAACAGAGAGCAGAGGATGTACAGAACAGGAATAAAGGAAGAACAGCGTTTGTAGAACAGGCCCATCATCCCACTACCGTTTCCGGTGCTAGGTCGGCCATGCGTCTGGGTTATTATTGGGGTGGGGGTGGGGCATAGTGATGGAGAGTTAACGTGTCTCTAATGCAATGCAGTCAACATAACGTTAGTACTGGTGACTTTCAGGGCAGTTCAACACCAGGTGTGTCTGTCTCGGTTTCCCAAGGTGTTCTGAAGAATCACTACATTCACCAAAGAGAAGCCAATGAGTGTGGCACTGTGTGTTAACAGTTAAACTTTGGAGTCACAAAGTAAAAGATGTTTTATTGCAAGCATGCAAAAGCGTGGTGAAAAGTTCAACACAGGTTTTTAGACCTTCTTCATGCCCCCAGATCCAGGGTGTCTACGTAAACCATATCTCACAAAGAAAACACAATATTTGGTATAAACTAAGTCAGTGACTTGCTTCTTAACTGCAATAGTGTCCATCCAAAATTGGGTTTAAGGTAAAACTACCTGACGATATTGGCGGGGATCCTGCAATTTGGACTGCTTGCCAGGTTTGTCCAGGCTTCCGGGTCTATTCTTGGAACTCATAGGGACTGGCATCCTGCTCGTCTGCGGGGTCCCACTGGAGCCCTGTGGGGAGGAGCAGCGAGAGGGGGAAGACAAGGAGAAGCTCATGAATGGATTGTCACTGTGGCTGCCCCACTGTGTGCAGAGAAGCTCAACGTGAGAAGCCACAGCCCTACATGCAGGACAGATCTAGGAGACGGACATCAGGAGACACCACTGGGGTTAATTCGAAGAATCAAACAGAATAAACTGCTCCACTACTGATCAAACGGATTTTAATGTGAGTATCCGAGCAATCATTTCAACAGCAAATGGCTGACCCAGCATCCTTGCGTTTACCCAACACCAATCAGCAACAGAGGTAAAAAAAACAGAATCAATTAGCTGTTAGACACCTAGTTGTTGTTGTTTTGAAGGTGAGGGAGAAGGTGTGAGAGAAAGGGATCATGGCGAACAGACAAAAAAAACTAGCCACCTGAAAGGAAGCAAGTCAATCACAAGACACCTTTTGCTAAGGTGATTATGGCAGATTTAAGAAAGCAGCTGGGTCTTTCCATTTTCCATCAGACCAAGATACCTTACGTGAAGCTGAAGGTATTGACGAGGGGGGCTCTGGGGAAGTGGGAGCTTCATCCAGAACTAGCAAGGATCGGGGAGAGGCCTCTTGGGCTATGTGGGATGAACTTGCAAAAGAATCTCTGTTGGCAGAACATGAGGTATCAACTAGGGCTTTTGGACTCATTTCACTGATCGTGTTTTCAAGCTGTTTGATGGTCTGCTCCAGGCTGTCCAACGTTCTGTAGGTATTTTTTCTAATTTCGTCAGTTCTTGAAATTGGAGACGTGCTCTCTAGACTGGGCTGCTCTTGTCTCCTGAGCATATTTTTAGGGGTGTCTTCGGGTTGAGACCTGGTAATTTCGAATCGCTTGGCTTCTTTGTGCTGCTTCACAGTGCCGTCCTCTTCCTCCTCTTCGTAGACCACCACCTGCAGAGTCTTCTTCCCGGTTTTGGTTCCTGTGCGAATTGCCTGAGTGAGAGCAGCGAGTTGCTTTTTAGGGAATTTGAATTTAAACTTTTTCTTGGGGCTTTCAGATTGGTCGTCTGGGACATCACACTTGCTTTCTGAACTTGGAGAATCTGCTTGACTGAACTTGCTCGGCTCAGGATCGTTCATTTCCTGTCCTCCTGGTATTTTGGTCTCTCCTGGAAGGAAGTGTGGCTGTAATCTACCCTCAGCTTGCTGTCCTGATCTGAGGCTGCCTGTGGCAACCTTCTTCTGAAACTTTTGGGAAGTGTTATTCTGGACTACGGGGTCTCCATTTTCCTCCTCTTCCTCCTCCTCTATCTTTTCCTCTGTCATTATTCTCTCTAATTCCTCATCGCATTCCTCAAATATGGTTGAAAGTCTCTTATACGCAGATCGGATGTCCATGGGTTCATCAAAAATGATGATAACTGGTTTCTTGTCTAGGCACACGACTGGCTCTTCATTTTCAGTTCCTTCTTGTTGGGAAGCCGTCTCTTTTTTGGCATCAATATTAACCGTCTGTACATCTTCTCCCTTTTGGCTCACTATATCGCGGACCTCCCCACTGGACAGGACCTGGACCGCGGTTTTGGTAATCATGAAAGCAATGTTGTCAGTGGTTGCATTTTCATCAGTGGGAGAAGGTGTTGATTCTCCGTCCTCATTAAGGTTCACATTAGCATGCCTCGTCCCCTTGGGTCTTAGAATAACCTGGCCAAACTCTGTCAGGGGAACCTCTTGATCTTGAGTTTTGACATCACGGATACTCGATTCAGTTGATCTAGTGGGAGAGGGAAGGTGACACTTATCTGTATTTTCCTGTCCTTGTTGGCTCATCTCCTTTGTCTTTCCATAATTCATCTTCTGATTCTCAGTGTCAGATATAGGGTACTGTGGTCCTGAGACTTTAGGCCCTTTGTTTATTTCATCTTCTAATGAACTAATGCCAGAGAAACTGGAATTGACCTTAGACACATTTTTCTGGGAATAGTTTCTACTGTCTCTAAGTAAACTCTTATTAGATATGGAATTTTCCTTCATTAAGACGTCAGTTTTATATTCTGATGTTCTTGATGCCTCAGAAATACTATTCTCCATTCCTCTTTCCCACTTAGGATGGTCACTAGGTGTTACAGCCCCTGCAGTAACCTGAGAGGGAGAGTGGAGGAGGGAAACCACACACGTTAATCAGAAACGGATCTGCAAAGGAAGGTAATTAATCTGCGTGGTATCGGTTGGAACACAGGTCTGGTGAACTCACCTTTCGGGAATCCATTTGGGGGCCATTTTCATATTCAACATCAGATTTCCGTACGTCTTCATGGAAAAATTCCAAATTCTGGTAGAATAGTGTAGGACATGTTACTCCACAAAACCACACCCCCCCAAAGTGGACTATAACTACATTGTTCCTTTCATTACACTTCCAAAACATGCGACCCAAGCACATTTGTTACACACCAGTCCAAAGCCTAAAGCTCTGTTTACCTTGGGTTGCTTTGTTCTCCAACTTCCAAAAATGCCCTGTGTTTACACAAGATGAAAATCTCAATTAGCAAAATATTTATAGTATTTCAAAGTTTGTAGGGGAACAGTTAAGAGAATAAAGGGACTGATTCTGTATCAACACATCCTCTTTTCACCATCTAATTGGGAGATTAGCAGAACCTAAACCACAAGAGTGGTGTCACATTGTAGAAAGCACACTGTCTCAGCAGGCAGAAGATCCTGATTCTACTTCAGATCTGCCACTTAACTGTGTTACTTTAGGCAAATCATTTCACTTCTCTGGGACTCAGTTTTCTCATTTATAAACTGAGGAACTAGACCAGGAGATTTTTCACGTCCCTTCCAGCTAGTTATTTCAGTCCTATCTCTGCTTCTTTTATGGAAATCGTCCTATCAGGACTCGGCATTGGGTGTGGTACTTGGAGATAAAAAAACATTACTTTTCTCGGGTCAAATGACAGATTGAAAATATACTTGCAGTTTGTACTTGGACTTGCCAAGTAGAGTGTCAAAATAACCTTAAAAACTAATCATAGCCAAGACGATCAAATCTAAATTCAGAATGATACTGCTGCCAAAATACCATCTAAACATTGACAAAACAGATATTTGAGGCTACAATGGTGACTGTGACATCACGATTCAGCTTTCCTTCTCTATATTCCCTGATGCAGAGCGAAGACACATTTCTGAGGCTCTCACCAAGATTCAGAACGTAAGAACCCAGCCGTGAGGACCCAGTATGGAGAGGGCTTCACCAGGAAGCATGGCCTTTTCCGCTATGGGGGACATAGCCTCGGGCCCTGCCACAGACTAACACTAGCCAGGCCTTGTCACTTCTAAGGCACTGCTGCCCTTTCTTCTTGCTGCAGAACCCCAAGAGGAAGAGGTGATTCTAGCAGGATGAGACACCATCCCAAGAAGGCTGTTCAGTTAAAGCAATGACAACATAACAAAGCACAATAACCCAGACCCTGCCAAAGTCAACCCAGAGCATTCCTACTGCCCCGGTTAAAAATGGAAAGAATGTTCATACACATTCAAGGAATAACACACAAACAACAAAGTCAGCATTAATCACATGGAAATATCGCACAGGATACAAGGCGCATTAGCCAACAAACACCTCCTGATTAACCCCATGAGACTCCCAAACCAGTGCAATGATTCAGCGCCTGCAGTTGAACAATATAATTTCTTTTGTGGGACTTTAAATTTAGATTATCAAACAACTAACACAGCAAGTAAAAGGTTTTAAGAAGAAAAATAAATGAGGTTTTGGCCTAAGGGTTTCAACTCCAGAAATGGAGATAGCATGTTAGGACCTGAGCAAGAATTTACTCTTGAATCAAAGCAGGAATTGGCATGTAATCTAAAGAAGACCCTGCACGGCTGATGTTCTGCTGGCTCCATGTAATGGGGGTTAGGCCTGGCATCTGTTCTGACTGGTCAGGGCCCATGCCATACCCATTGTTAACTATTTCGAATGCCATCATGCGATGTATGTATTTTAAAACAAATCTAGTAGCGGGAATAGTCCAATGGAAAGTCAGTAAGGTAAAGATGTCAAGGTTAGGTTTCACACGACCTATCATTTTTATCACTGGGCTAGAAAAAAGAATGAATGTATCGAAGAAAGTGCATTAACTTTATCTGGGGTTACTTGGTCACAACCGTCACGTAATCTCACAAGGATATCTTAGTCTTAGATAGTCAAGACTCTGCATTAAATTAAGCCTCATTAATATCTGTTTATAGGCTCTGAGGTTTGTATTGTTCAGACAACTGCTGAAGCAGGCTCCATATGCATATGGGCAATAAACCAAAATTAGAGACATAGTTATAGGAAAATTGCATAAAAGTGAAGTACTAGTCTAGTGTTTCATGAGGATAGGAGAAAAATTTGAAGAAACATTTGATTTATAGAAGAGTAGATGAATAGCCCAGGAAGAGGTTAATAATGACAAAAATTTGGGGACAAGTCTGATACTCATGGTTACTACGAAGTAGATCAGTCTACTGGGTATAATTATCCAGAATAAGCACCTGTGATTAAAGCCAGTGTTGGACACCCAGTACAGACCTGCTTATTATCTCATGGACCCTTGATAGAGACAAATAAGATGGATAGGATATGGATTTCCAATTACAGGACATGGAATCTCATGGGCAACTTTTTAGCCAATTAGCAAAATTCTACAATGAGACCATGATTGTCTCTAGAGAGATCTTTGAGAAGTTCCCAGTTCTTAGTGACAGAAAGAGTCACAATGGCCTGAGTATGCCATGTAACTCAGGATATGCCTTGGCCTTCCATGAGTTGGTTTTAATAAGGCCACATAAGGAAATCCCACAGTCTGAAAAAGTAATATATTTTTAATGCAATGTCATGGGTTCAATTCAAATTAATAGGAGGTTTTCTTCACGAGAAAGATTTATCGACAATAATCTCATTTTCTCCCTGATGCATAGAGAGATCCCCCATTGCCTGGTTAATAGTTTCATATGTCAGTTATGTGACATATTACGTCAGACATAGTTTACATGAGGGCTCTGTGATGGCTGTGAGCCGGGGAGGACCAGGTTGGCCTCCTTGGCAGGGCCCCACGGCTGGGAGCTGTAAGCCCTAAGACTGCATCTCTTGAAGGGTTGCGTTAGAATACCCCTCCCATTTTGTGCAATGAGCTTACTTATACATGTAGTGAGGTACCCACTTGGAGTAGCTATTCGGCTATATTATGGCTGACTTGTTTGACTTTATTTAAGGGAAGCTAGAACCTTTGAATTCTGAAATATAAATTCCTGGTGAAAAATATTAGGACATGATAAGCTTTTTATCCTGAAATTTAGACAGAGGCTTCATCCACATACGATGGCTCTATCTCCAAAAATCATAAAAGCTCTAGATCTACCTTAAAAAGTTGAAGTTCAAACATTCAGGCTAATGTCCTTTCCTTAAGGTACTTATGTAATGACAGTGAACTTTGTTTCAGAGCCTGGACATCTGTTTTGAAGCCACTAGAATGCCACAAAGTATATTAGCACTAAGACGATAGTGAACTTACTATCTTGGAAGGTATACTTTGAGAATTTTTAATACTTAACAAAAATTCTGTGTGGCGTGCTTGAACATGTGTGCAAATACATATGTGTGTGTTTCCATGAGGCCACACCTGTGGATGGTGGCAGGTATATGGCTCTGCTGTGTGTTTCCTTCCTGGAATCGAAGGCTCTCACCTACTTTTAATGCAGATGTTTTTAGTTTAGGAGACCTGTTAAAGATTAGAAAAAATGCTATATACTTGGTTGATATTTCTACTTTTTTCTAGAGTTGTTCTAGAAAATCTTGAAAGGTGCATACTCTTTAGTTTGGGAAGATAAAGCCTAAATTCTGCATGTACTGTTGTATGCTGTGCACAGAACACAGCATCCGCTCTGGAAACCTGAGCCACTTATCTCTGATCTAAACCTAAAGCTATGTCTCTATTAGTCTAAAAATAACAAAAAAAAAGGTGAGAGAAAAAAACAATAGGGCATAGAAAAACAAGTGCAGGAGCGGTGTTAGTGTCAGAGCAAGGAAAGAAGGACCGTCAGACTGTGTGGCAAATGAGTAATTGCCACGTTACCTTCTTCTCCTTGGGTGGGACTGTGGCCCCCGGCCTAGTGTCTTTAACGTGACTGTCAGCCCGGGACTGCTCAGCATGACTGTTTGAATTTACATCCATAAAGGAACACTTCTGGAATGCCTAAGGAATTAAAATACTGAGGTTAACAGGAATCCAAGTGTAGCAAGGAGGAAGGAGGTCACAGGCAGAGATTCCAGAGGCGTGGAGACCCCAGCCTGGTCCTGCACACAAGTCACACTGGGGCCAGAGAGGCAGTGCCTGGAAAACCAGCTCCCCATTTGGCCTCAGGCTGGCAAAGCTTGGAGATGCGCCCAGGGCAAAGGCTTCCTTACTTTCTGGACCATGCCAAGATAAAAATGGACAGAGCCCTTGAAAAGAATACCCTTTCTTCCTATCCGGCATGAATGTGTGCTTAGTAGGGCTTCTTGCTTTGACCTTTAAAAAATGTTGAATATGTAAATTAATTAAAACAAAATGAGAAGCTATCTTTCTTTGCTTTTTTCTTGATGATTATTCTTTTTTTTCACTAGCTTTATTGAGATTATAGAAAAAAGGGCACAATATACTGCAAACCTTTACACCTTAAAATAAAAGCGATCCTTGCCAATGCATTGTCTGCAATAGTAACAGGTACTCCTGTGCTCTGAGGTGTTCTGAGGCTCATGTAGAATAAAGTGATGCTCCCTAGCACCCAGGTGATGCTGAGTGGCCTGGAGCTGCCTGAGCCCTATAGACTTGTCTCTGAGAACTGATGATCATAGTTACAGGAGCCCACAGCTGGCGCACGTGAACACTGAGTGAGGGAGGCCAGTTCTCAGACAGAGAAAGCACAGGCTGTGTCTATAGAGTAGAAAGGGAGTGACAATATGATCGCAAGAGCAGGAGAGCCGAAAAACCGAAGCACCCAAGCTTCTTAAAATCAGTGGTTCTCAACCAGGCTATATGTCACCTAGTTAAAACCAACGCTATTACCCAGGCCTCAACTAGAAAATAATTAAGTCAGAATATCTGGGCCGTAGGACTTTAACTCCCCAAGTAATTCTCGTGTGCAGCCATTAAAGACCACTTATTTAAATGAATACTCTCAAATAATTGCCTCCTATTTTTTTGTGTGAGGAAGACTGGCCCTGGGCTAACATCTGTGCCCATCTTCCTCTGCTTTATATGGGATACTACCACAGCATGGCTTGACAAGCGGTGCGGATGTCCGCGCCCGGGATCCGAACCTACGAACTCTGGGCTGCCAGAAGCCGAGCGCATGCACTTAACTGCTACGCCCCCGGGCTGGCCCCGCCTCCTATTTTGTTAATGTCAAATATTGTCATTCGGAAAGAACTCTGCAGGCAGAAAGAATAACCCACGCTTTCCCCAAGTGGACATTTCAGCACTGGTCCTAAAATACGGATGGAGCTGATGCCCCGGCCTGCTCTCCCACTACTGTGCTTGCTCCCTGTTCCCGCCACACGGGCTCCCTCGTGGTCCCTTAGACACTCCAGTCCCAGCTGGCCCTGGAGATGCCCAGGGGTCCACTCACTAAGGCCACTCGCCATCTCCGTTGGGCTGTTAGACCCTGGACTTCGGAGCCTGTGGTTTCTTCTGATGCCTGGAGACACAGAGCAGGAAAGTTGTTCCACAATTACACTCGGGGGCTGCATCTGCTCCTGGTCCTGCCTCAGGGGGTCTAACTCCAGAGCCTGCGGAGGCAAAGCAACCAGCCAGCCACTGGCCGTTGGAGGACTTTCTGATGCAGGAGGTTGGGTCTCCCAGCAGGAGGGCTTATTGGGTTTGGTTAAGTGAGGACTAGAGCACTTCATTCACCACTATTACCTAACCACCAATAACACACGATATTCCACCCTTCATAAAGCTTTCTGTCAAAGAAAGCATCAAAGATATTTAGACTTCCATGGAGGGAGATAGTCTCAAGGGATGGGCTCTAAGAGACCGGAACAAGTACATTACTTCTCTTAGGCGGCTAGTGCAAGATTATTCATAAGCCTAAAAGTCTATATTTCTTTGATTATTAGTGACTGTTCACCTTGCACAGAGTTAAAATTATCTAGTGCTTTGTCATCCATTTGAACCAAACTGGGCCGTGATGAATTCACACCGTAACTTGGGGGCAGAATGTGCTATAACAAATGGCCCCAGAATGTGCCTATACCTCTTAGGACAAGCATCAATCCCAACAACAAGCAGCCCTGACATGCCCATGTCATCAGCCAGAGGATCTTCACTGGGTAAGTGAGTGATAGATGCATTCATGCTCTCAACTGTTTTATGAGTCACTAACTTTATAAATCTTTGGTTCCTATGAATGAAATTCTCCAACTATTCTAAAAACCTGGGAACAATCTGATCAATGGAGGGGATGTCCCAGGCCAGTCTGTGAGTTTTAGTGAGGCTAGGAAGGGCTCATGCATGCAACACCCAACCAGCAGCCCAGTTTTCCCTGTAAAATCAAAGCAGCTCAACGTTGGCAGTTATTACCATGGAAAGCAGAGTGGAACAGCTGAGATGGAAATGGCATGGTTTGAAAGTTCTCCCTACTCCAAATGAAGAATGCAGATCCTTGGGCCTGCACAAAACCATTGGCAAAGAGGCAACAAGTTTTGGAGCCCTAAGGAGGTTGTGATCTGACCCTCTAACAGGCAAAAAAAATCCTACAATAAGCATGGGTCAAAGAAATACTCTACAAACAGACTTTGGTCTAGGAATTGTGTATATGTTTCTGATTAGACAAGTTCTTAGAATGTACACCTAGGACAGATTCACAACCATGATTTGAATGCGGGATCAGCTTTGGGTATAGTCCCTGCACCCCATTCTTAATCCAGTGAGTAAACTGTGGCAATTAGTTAAAAAAATCAAAAATAAATAAAGTATCATTTCTCAAGTAGGCCAAGGAAAATGGAAAACAGAATTATTCCACTTTTCGGAATATTTGAGAAGATGACATTGACATTGAATGGGAACCGGGTATGGAGGACAGGAGGCCACATGACTCAAGGTCAGTCATTCTAAGTATTAAAGCCGAAGAAGGGAACAAACGCCTGCAGCGGGCTTTAATCAGTCCTTATCAAGACAAGATTTCTAATCCCCATCTTAATTGCTTTTGAAATGAAGCAGAGACTACTAAAACTGGAAGAAAGGAAAGTAAATCCTACCAGCCAGAGCTAGGAAAGCTTGCAATTGATTTTTTGTATAAACTTCCTGAGTTGTTTTGTGAAATGGTCATTCCTCGCGCATATCTGAAAGGCGCCCTGAGAGCCTAGTTCAGCGCCATCTTGGAAAAGTGGAGGCCAAGGCCAGAAGATGCCGATTACTGGGCCCAGGTCAACAGGGCTCTTCGCCAGTCCTCTCTAGCTAATGAATCTGTGAGAGACATAGCCAGAGAATTCCAGATGCAAAGGCAAGGAGTCACGGTCAGTCACCTCATCCACATACCTGGAGTTCTGCCATTATTTTATCTCCTTCTTCTTCTTCCTCCTCATCCTTTAGGGAGGAGGTAGTAACTGGTGGTGGGGATGGGGTCCAGGCTGAAGCAGGCTCCTCTGTTGGACATTTTGTGACTCTAGCCTGCGGGCTTGCTCCAGCATCTTCACTGCTTGCCTATGGAAGATTCAAACCACAGATGTTGGCTTAACACCCCAGGTGCTGGCAAAAAGAGGGATAGATCACAAGAAGAACTGATGTTCCCTCACTGCCTGGTACACTGGCTTCCTAGCTCTTCAAATTGAGCTGAAAGGCTATTTGATCCCTTTGCATTTAGTTTGGGTTTTTGTTTGCACACACTGCCATTTTGGTGAATGCGTTGAAGAATTATAATAAAATTGTAACTCCTCAACATTCAGTGCCTTTAAGAAAGGCCCTCCCACACTGCATCTCCTTGGAAATTGTATTTTACGTTTAACACAAAAGACAAAACTTGCCAAGTTAAGTGGAAGCTAAAGCTCATTGTACATCTTTCTGTAGACACCCACAACTGTGTTAGCTAATCTCAATTACCTTTGTAAGATGGTCTTTCTTTGGCTTCCCCCTCCAACCCTCATTTTCAATCTTTTTTTTTTTTTTAATATTTTTTGTGTGTGTGAGGAGATCAGCCCTGTGCTAACATCTGCCAATTCTCCTCTTTTTTTGCTGAGGAAGACTGGCCCTGGGCTAACATCCGTGCCCATCTTCTTCCACTGTATATGGGATGCCGCCACAGCATGGCTTGCCAAGCAGTGCATCGGTGTGCGCCCAGGATCCGAACCGGCGAACCCCAGGCCGTCACAGCAGAGCACACGCACTTAACCGCTTGCGCCACTGGGCCGGCCCCATCTCATTTTCAATCTTTTGATGCCCTGCTGGGAAAGTAGCTTGTGATTTGCATTTCACATGGTTGCAGCTACAAGTCAAGTAAGGATAAAACTTGTGGTGCTGAGTCTAGTCCAATAGCATTGGCTGACATTTTCTCATCTGTGGCATTTCCTGACAATCTAGTTTAGTTGATTCTCTGCCTCACTACTTTTTATGTTCTAAATGAAGATAGAGAAGACCTTGTCTAAGGGTATCATCTGAACCCAGAGACAAGTTTACCAGAGCTTAACCCATCAGACCTTAGCGATGGTGTTCTCCTTCCTGCCGGTGTAGACCACATCGCCGGACCTCGTGGTGGTGAGCCCCGATCCTGGCAGGTAGCTCCGCCGTGGGGGTGGGGGAGGAGGTGGTGGGGACTTACCCCCCTGCTTGTCCAAGTCCTGCTCTGAATTTGGAGAGTCTTCTGGAAAACAGTATGCCACTGCAAAATAATCTCTTTGCAAGATAACGTCCAGAATGTGTATTGCTATAAACTCGATGCCATCTGACTTAAAAATTTCTCTCTTCTCTCCATAGTGCAACGATTAATGGTACACACCCTGAAGCCCAATTGACTTTAAATCCCAGAAAGACCCTGCACAAGTTAATTGACCTCTCTCTGCCTCGGTTTTCTCACCTGTTAAATGGGTATTATAATAATACCCTCTCCCCTGGGTTGCTGTGAGGATTAAATGACTTAATATACATAAAACATTTAGAACAGGCTTATTGGCTTACTGTAAATGCTCTGCAAGTATTAGCTGTTAGTATTAGACCAAAAAGCTGAGTATTACTTGCAGAGATGAAAGTTCAGTGCCCAAAGGCAAAGTCAGAGCCCCCTGCGTTCCCTCCAAAGCCTTCATCCCGAGTCTGAAAGATACACAGTGTTAGCAGGAGGGATTCATGCAGGGGCGGTTAGAATAGAGTCTGGCCAGGGAAGGGCCAGGGGGAAAGTGGGAGGCAGATGGGAACAGAGAATAAAGTCGGGGAAAAAGTGGATTTTTGGTCATGGTTATGTGGTTGGAAAAGGTTCTCTGCTAACGAACGTAGGCAGCAAATGCAGAAACAAGAGAATTATAAATTAGTGTTGACACCAAAGGTTAGGAAATGCAGATGTCTACTCAGCTTTCCCCAGAAAAGTGTCCAGAAAAGGCATTTCTTAATAAAAACTCAAACAAACAGCTGCACATGTGCCCTTTAGAACACTCTGCCCACGAGCTCACGACAGTGGCAGAACTGCAAATTCAGGATCAGCCCTCCAGGTGGGCTCCGTCCCAATGCTCTCTAGGGACATGGCCTGGCCTGCCTGGAGTGTGTTTGTCTTTTCTGAGCAACCCAGACAGAGTTGTTCAGAGGAGACACTTGAGGAGTTTCCTCTTAAAGTTGGAATGAAAACGAGGGTAAATCATAGGGGTGAAATGCTAGGGATTATTTGTAGTGGACGGTTCCTGTCTCACACATGAGGATGTGGGATACAGGGATCCAGCAGCATCAGACCATGTGGCTGGTTCCCACGCCAGCAGCCGCGCCTCAGGATGGTCGCCTCAGCTTTGGGTCATCCAGGGACTGGCCCTGGAGATAGCCCGAGTCTCTCCTCTCCTGTGTAATGACAAACACTCCCTCCTTGACCAACTTTAGTCAGGCTCCTCTGAGCCCTCTTCTCCACTACACTTCATTCCCCACCCTGATACCTAAGTCCTTGGCCTGCCTTTAGCCAGAATCCCCCTTCCCTCGATGCACTATATTCTGAGCTGAGTTCAGTTTCTCTCCCCCATTGCAATAGTCTTGAAAAAAGTCTTCCTTGCTGTTTTTAACAAATGTCCTGGTGAATAATTTTCCTTTAACATTGACTGAGGCCACAATCCCCAAATTTTCCATAGATTTTTGGGAGCTATCCATGCTTCCCCATTATTTAAGTAGTCAGACAATTCACACAAGAGGAAATACAAATAGTTTTTAAAACTCCAAGCTTAGAATTTTACCTTGTTGGTAAACAAAAATAAATAAAACTAATAACAATCCACGACAAATAAATAAAAGTAATAGAAACCAACAGTTACAGATAATGCATGATAACCCTTACACATTTCTGGTGTCCTGTACATTAGTGGACTCTGACAAAAAATTAGGTGATGTATTAAAAAATAAATAAATAAAACAACAACAAGAACATTTTAACTGATTAAAAATGCTTGGGGGAGTAATTTAAAAAATAATTTCTGCAAAATTTTTTGAATCTCAAAGAATAAAAAGCCCAAATGAGGTAAATTAACAAAATGCAACATTATTATTTTTGAAGGAACAATTATAATTTTTTTTATAATTTACTTATAATTGTAAGACATCAAAGGACTATTTGACAAAATTAATATTGGGGAGAGCCGAATTAGGTCATATAGAAACATAATGAGGTAGATCATTTTCTTCATCAGAAATTCTCCATGAGAACTTTGGGGGAAAAGCCATCTCTGTGAGAGCAGAGCTGTCTCTTGCAGGGCCCTCCTCTCTCTGAACACTTGCTGCCTGATACTCCAGGGGCCCTAGACAGGCCTCATAGAGCTGGCAGGTGGGGAAGGAGGTGAAAAACTTAGCAGACTGAGGGAGAGAGTTTCAGTGGGTGGAGTTTTAGAGCAGCTTTGGGAACTGAAAACCCAGGAGGAGAATGTTACAGTGGTTAAATTGTATCTACTTTCCTGTTCCTTGATATGCAAGTCAAGATGGCAATTCCTTTTCAAATTAAATTTAGTTACTGGACTAGGCATCATTGAATGTGGCTCTGAGAGATATTAGGCTGCAAGTAAAACAATGTCTTTGTGCCTCATTTTAAGATCAGAATAAGGCAGGTAGCTTGTAAGTGGTTGGAAATTTAGTAGGTTGCATTTTCTAACAGTCATTTTATATTATTATTTTATAGCACTGATGCTTAAATTCCATAGTTTAGTTGGTTAAATATACAGTCTAATAATTTTGATTTAAAAAAATGCAATTTCACCTTACGACCTAATATCCCCCTGGGAGCTCATGAAAGCTAGCGTTTTCTTTCAGCAGCATATGAAAGGCTCTTACTTTAAACACAGGTCTCTTATTCCCCCAGCTGGTACTGCGAAGTGTCATAAATTCAAAGGAATGTGGAAGCTGGGAATCTAAATTTTACTTTATTGGGCATTGTTCTAGTATCCTAATGCAGAACACGGTTTCCCTGCTATGGTTATAGTTAAAAAGTAGTAGTGAGAATCTAGGGACACCTGAGGATTTGTTCTTCTAATTTTAAAACTTTATAAGACTCTTAAGACGTGAGCGATTGGTCCTGTTGGCCAGCACATGCCTAAGTGGGTGGCCCCACAATGCTCTGAGGGCAGCCAGCCTACACAGCTCTGTCAGTACCTTACCTGAAAGTTCTAGCTTGTCCACTGGAGCATCGCCTTTTGGCTGTGGGCCTGAGGCTGGTGGCATCTCCAAGTTTGGAATGGACTTCATGATATTGGCCTGAGCTTCTTCTAGGAGCTTCTCAAACTCTTTCCCGTTATAGTGGTCCAGATTTTGCCTTTTCTCTTCCCATTTCCTTTCTGCTTTCTGAAGGAAAATAGTAAGTGAAGGAAATTTAAAAACCGGAGGGAAAAGCTAATTAATAGTTTGGAGATTTAATGTTGGGGTGAGAGGAGGTGTAACACACTTAAAGCGCTGGTGAAATAACGCTCCAGTTTCCAAGCCAAGGGACACTTCTGCACCTCAGACAAGTCCGACCCTTGTGCTGTCTGCTCCATCTTCTGTAGCTAAATGGGCTGCCATTTAAGCCCAAGGGATATTCGTTCACAGAGAAGCAAGCTCAGAAACCCAAATTCATTCATTAAATTATTACTGAGCACTTACTCCATACTTCTACCAATACTAATAAAAAGGGACACAGAGAAATGCTTTCGAAGGTATGTATCCCACGACCAAGTTTTCGTTTTCTAAATTGAGTTTTCACTGTGGAGGAGATGTTCAAACAGCCACAAAACCCCAAACACTCACTAGGAACGAAGAATCCTAGGTCTTCGTTCCACTTCCATCAAAGAATTGCTACACAGCCTCTGGGTCAAATTTTCTTATTTATAAAACGGGAGGTTATTTAGATGACCTCTAAGCTCCACCAAGTTTTACAATAGGGAGAAATCCATAAAACGTATTTTTAAATACCTGTACATTTATTTATTTGTTCCTTTGTTTATTTATTTATGTATTTATGTGTGTGTGTGTGTGTGTGTGAGGAAGATGAGCCCTGAGCTAACATCCGATGCCAGTCCGCCTCTTTTTTGCTGTGGAAGATTAGCCCTGGGCTAACATCCGTGCCCATCTTCCTCTACTTTACATGGGGCACCACCACAGCATGGCCTGACAAGCGGTGTGTCTCTCTGCACCCGGGATCCGAACCTGTAAACCCCAGGCCACCGAAGCAGAGCGCGCGAACTTAACCACTACACCATCGGGCCGGCCCCAAAATATCTGTACGTTTTTTGAAAGAACATTTTCCTGTGATTTTGAGATGGCACATTAATCATTCCAGGAGGCTGGAGTGGAAATTAGCGCCAAGATTAGTGGAAGCCCATAAGGTAAGAACATAATGTAAGACTTGGAAAAGGCCCAGGAGATCATGGAATCAGCACACTTTACACATGAGAACACTGGGGCCCAGTGAGATGAAGGACTTGCCCAAGATTCACTCTATATAATAAGAGCCACACCCTCACCATCCTTTTGTTGTTAGTGCCATGGAGTGGATTCCAACTCTATAGCAGAGCAGAACCCTGCCCAGTCTTTCCGTGCCATCCTCTCGCTTCCAGCGCTCTACCAGACACTGCTCCACTGCTATCCATAGGGTTTTCAGGGCCAATTTTTTCAGAAGTGGGTGGCCAGGTCCTTCTTCCTAGTCTGTCTTAGTCCAGAAGCTCTGCTGAAACCTGTCCCCCATGGGTGACCCTGCTGGTATTTGAAATACCGGTGGCAGAGCTTTCAGCATCCCAGCAACACGCAGCCGCCACAGTCTGACAATGGACAGACAGGTGGTGTGGGTCCCTGACTGGGAAACGAATCTGGGCCATGGCGGTGAGGGTGCAGAATCTTAACCACCAGACCACCAGGGCTGGCTATCGCCATCCTTACTCTCCTTTATTTTTCTCCCTAGCATTTATTATGACATATCCTTGTTCTCTATCTCTCCCTACAAGCAGCTAAGTTTCTCGAAGGCATAGACTTTGACTCTTGTGTTCACTCCCTACCCCCAAGTCTCTGAGGGCCTGGGCCGTAGTGGGGCTCAGTAATATTTGTTGAGCGAATGAAGCTCACCCCATTTGTCAGTGGCAGAGGTGGCAGGAAGGCCCCGGCCTCCTTACTGTGGATCAGGTCATCTTCAGAGATAACTCATAAGTCTCCCATTAAAACTCAAAACAGACACAACAATGATAACTATGTCCAGCGAGTTCTCAATAGATATTTGTTAAATAAACGAGTTGTCCTACTGACATCCTTTAAAAATGGGGATGTTTCAAGCAGCAGATCACTAATTCTCAGGAGGAAATGTGTTTTTAGTTTTCTCCCCTACCCTGCTAGGCACGATATGACAGAATCATCATCGGCCAATCACATTTCCACCCCCTCCTGTGATATACACTTTGTAAATAGCTGACTTGGATTAGAGGCACAGTACTGACTCTGGAGCATAGAGAAGCTACCTAGCGTTCAGAGGCCCAGTAGCCATGACTGCGGCCTTAGCAGTTTTAAGAGGTCATTTCCTGTTGAAACCTCAGTTATCCACTGCTGACTTGCAAGAGAGGCAGGGATGGTCAGGACCAGGTTGCTGGGGATAGGGTAAGGAGTAGGGGAAATGTGGGGTAAGAGCAAGGAGAGAGCTAGGGAAGCAAATGTGTTATCTGAGCATTGATACCACGCATGATAAAAAAAGATATTTAAAAACATAGCATGTTTTCTCTCTATGTTGTGTGACCTCAAGACCTAGCTTTCTCTTTCCATTGTGACGGCCTCTGCCTTTCATTCTGAGACTACTGTAAGAACTTCCCACCCAGCTCCCTTAATCCTAGACCCACCACCTGAGTCAGTTCTGTACTATTCCAGATTAATTTCCTGAAGATGCCATTTTTTTTTATCACTGGTCCAAGCTGCAGCATCTCTCTGATGTCTACACAGTAAACTTTAGACATCTTGGTTTTCAGCCTGTTTTGTCAGCCTTATCTCCTCTTTCTTGTTCAAGTTACACAGGTTACTCACGGCCCCAGCCTTTGCTCCAGCATTCCTCTATCCTAGAATGCCCTCACCACTCTTCTCTGCTTACCCAGATTCTACTTATTTTTCAAGATCAGTGGCAAACCCTCCCCAGGCCTGCATTCACCAGTGGTGTGGCTGAGCCAGCACGCACTGGCTTAGAAGAGCTGATTGTCACATTTCTTCCTAACTGCTTGTTCAGTGATGTCATGTTGTAACTCAAAATCAGCAACAGTGGGAGTCTTCATGGAAATTGGCAAATGCTACAAATCAGGGCTTTTTCCACCAGAGAGCCACTTGTTAAATACTTAACCAGCACACCACTGTCTCACCTACCTACAGGTTAGGTATCCTTATCTTTCTCTGAAATCTAATGACCTTTCTCTTAATCTGGCCATTGAAACCCATTTGTAGTTTAAAAAAAAATCTGTCTTTCCGATAGACATATCTATCCATCCATCTTTGGTAGAAATATATCTTTGACACTTACATGTATTATCTCTATAACCAGACTGTAAGCTCTTTGAGGGAAAGGACCACGTGTTACACTCCTTTATGGGGTTATGAAAAATGGAAATAGGACTCTACCTCAATAGACACCGCCCTGTTCTTGGCACTCACGCTGTGGATTTCCTCAATGAACAAGCTCTGCATGGTGGAACCGTTCATGGGCGTCTGTGGGGACTGAGGAGCCTGTGCCGACTGCAGAGCAGAGGTCACTTCCTGAGTGACAGTTGGAGAGCTGGCAGGGTGAGGACCAGTCCCCCCAGGTAAGTGCTGCGCAGGGTTCAGCAGGGCCGAGGAGAGCTGGGAGGTCTGGATGACCACGGGAGAGCTCTGGGCATGGTGAACCATCAAGGGCACCACTTCTGACTTCATGTCGCCCGGGACTCCCGTGCCACGGAGGGGCTGGCCTGGGGTGTGGAGTGCCTCCTCCTGGGTCTTCAGGACTTCTGCGGCAGTGGCCTTTTCCATAGCGACATACTGTGCGGCCTGGGCTGCATCTGTACCTTTCAAGAGCCCATCGGTGACATGTCTGGGAGAAACCATGCACAGCAGCATTAACTTTTAAAATAGGTAACTTTCATTTTATTATTACAGTGTATTTGAATGCTGTGTCATTCCAAAGCCAGGCAAGATTTTGCTGCAAAATTAAAACATTCTAAAACCCTCAGGGTTGAGGGTTTCCATAGCAACTTCCTAAAGCCCTTGAATTGCCTCCTAGTTATCTCTGGCAGCTGCTTACTCAGTCCTTTCCTCAGGAGATGGTCTGTCTTTCCCTTTCCACCAGACTGTTGTGCCCAAACTGACGAGATTCCATCACTGTTTGGGTGGGGGTGGCATGAAGTGAACACGAGTCTAACGATATCTCCTCCACCTGAGCCTGGCCTGGACAGCTCTCAAGATGCTCAGCTCTAACCCCAAAAGCTTCCTAAACTCTCCTCCTTTCACTGCCAAACACCTTGGGCGGGTAGCTTATATTCTAGTTCCTTCTGCCTGCTCTTTCTGTAGCTCAGCCTGGTGCCATCTGCCTTCCCCACCTGGACTTAATCAAGCCTTGCTGCAAGGTCAGCAGTGACTCCTAATCGAACAGCTGGGTTAATCCTTATGGTCCTCTGCTTTTTGGGTCATTTGATGCTATTTGTCCATCTCCACCCTTGGTGCAGTGGAAAAGACGTGGCCTTTGGGGTCACACAGACTTGTGTCTGAATATCAGTCCTACTGTGTTCTAGCTACAGAATGTCAGGAACTTCACCTTTCTGAACCTCAGATACTTTTCTCCAGAATGTAATGATGATGATGATGATGATGACAATGCCTTCCAATGCCTTCTTCAGGGGTTGTCATTAGGATCAACGTAGTTACATGTAAGACAGTGTCAAACATGGTACTTCACTCATAATTTTTAGTCACTCATTCCCTTACTAAAATACTCTTTTTTTTTGACTGAGAAAGGACATGGTATTCTACGACGCTCCTCTGCTAGTCACTTCTCTGTTTCTTTTGCTGTTAACTTTATCTACCGTGTCCCTTCAATCCCCAATGATCTGTTCCCTCCCCCGCCCATTCTATCATGCCATCTCCTCCATTTTCAATAAAGTGACTTCCAATTCTTCACGAAGGTGACTTCCAATTCTAAATTTCTCTCTCCCTCTCTCTCTCCCTCCCTCCCAGCCTCCCTCCAAGTTAGGAGGGACCCCCCTCTAACTCTTTCTTGAACTTCAGTCCACATTTCTAAGCGCCTAGCAGGCAGCTCTGTTTGGATATCCTTCCAGCTCCTCAAATTCAACATGTACCAAACCACTTCAGCATCGTCCCAAGCCGCGAAGTTGCTCTGAACTGTGACTGTCACCTGCTTTAACTTCTCACAGTGGCATTAGGACATATGCGTGTCCTTGGGGGCGTGCGTATTCCTACCTTCTTCCTTATGTCTTCCACAGTGCTGAGTATAGCATGTTATACACAAAAGATACCAGGAAAAGTTAATAATATAAAGGCTTGTGATGGGCAGCCTGATGGCAGCTAAAATTTCCTTTATTTTTATTTCAAAGTTACTTAACTGGTTTTATCTACCATTCTAACCACTGAACGTTTATGGGACAAAAAATCCTATACCATTTAAAACATACAATCCCATCTTGTTTTTAGAACCTGCATTCCCTGGAGATAAGACAAATGCTGAGCTGCATCACTCTGTGCAGCTCTAAAAATTTCTTTTAATTGTTTTTCAGGGAAGAGGAGGGAACGAGGCGGTGTTACCTGCCAGCCTGCTATCTATTTCCACTTGATAAGGATGGTTTGTTTTAGGCTTTGCAGATGGGTTACCTCATGTAGGTAGGAGCTTAATGAAGAACTCTTTTAACTGATTTTTATCCTACTGGAAGAAAAAGTTCACTCCGTCAATTTAAAATGAGTGAATCTATGAGAAAATGTAACTCAGGTACAATTTTTTCCTGTACCCAGTCAGATGTGATCTCTGCAGGAGGAGGCCATTGTTGTTTTAATTCAGAATTCCTCTGGCATCCTGGAACTTATGTAGGTGATTATATGGCTGCTTTGTAGTGTTATCATCTCAAAAGAGGCTCTTTCTTCTGGTCATTCATTACTAGAAAAATCTCACTTGCTCCTTATGGTTAATAATTCATCTAAAAGTCAACTGCACATTTAATATATTTCTCTTACAAATTTGATCAAATGATCATAGTTAGTGATTAAAATATAAGAAAGTTTTCTATATGTCACTTCTGTTTGTGACCTGCTCTCAAATCTGGTCTGAGATTTGAAGGGTAACGTCTCTGCAATTTCCTGGTTCTATTAAATCAGTGAACACTCAGGAACTGCCACTGTTGGGAAGTGGTTTATTTGGGGTAGTTGTGTCTATTTCCCATGTGAGAGGGGAATTTTTTGTAAGGGCAGGGGTCCTATGTGTCTTGTTAATTACTATATTCTTAACACCCAACACCAGGGCTGGAACACAGAGAAAGCCCAAATGTTACTGCCTGCCTGGCTGTGAGATCAGAGCCACAACAATTCTGGAGTCAGACTGTCGGTTCACACCCCAGCCCCATCTCCGACCTGCAGGGAAACTCCCCAAACCTCCACTGTGACCCTCTTTTATGGGCAGGCATATCCTCGGTAAGGGTGACTGGCCCATGCCACTCAAGGGGGTGCATTTCTCTTTTCTAGGTAGATACTCTTTCAGTAGATAATTCAAGAAAGACTTTATTTCTACTCACTTTCTTCTAACTGAAGTCATCTATGCCCCTGACGTGAAGGAGGCTAATAAAATATTTTGATCCATTTTTTAACTTCAAAATGTTATTAAAAAGAACCACCTTCAAACGATTTTTTTTTTAAATGTTTACTGTGTTTACTTATTTTAAGCCCTAGGATGTGCCAAACACAGCAAGCCTGTGCTGAAGAATCAGGACCTCGAGCATTATGGCAATAGAATATCCAACTCAGAAGACTGGAAATAAGACGTGATACGTCACGAAAATGGAGACAGGTCCCAGGAGCACAGAGGAAGCCTGAGAGTCCAAAACCTTGACCCCCAACCTTCCCAGCACATCCCCCTACACCTGATGCCCCTCAGGAAGCCTGCTCACCTCCGTAACATGGTCAGGGTGTCGGTCATACCCCGCACTCTCTGTAGGAGACTATCCAGCCTGTGTGGCTCTTCCTTCAGAAACCGCACGGCCTCTACTTCTATGCGCAGGATGGCTCGCATCTTGTTTTGTAAAGTTGGAAATTCTCCTGCAGGCAGAGAGCAGCTGGTGAGTTGTAGGAGAAAAAGCCAGAATGGCAAGCCCCCATCCCGCACCCCAACAGGGAATAGGGTTGAGAAGCATGGGCTTCATCAGCCACAGTTCATGTATCTTCAGGAGGCAGACAAGGTCAGACAGAACTGGGTTCAGTGACCTTGGGCAAGGGCAGAGCTCTAGGCCTCATGTCCTGCCTGGGCATTTGGGATAAGGTCAACCGTCCCTTAGGGCTGTCTTTAATGAATTTGGCACAGGTGCCCTGGTGCACTGTAAGAGCCCAGACAACAGAAACTGTCATCAGCATCATTTGGTCCTAAATCTTACAGCACTCACTACGACACATCCAAGGAGACAGGGATGTTTGCCTGTTCTGTTCAGTGATGTATCCCTAGTGCCTAGAACGGTGCCTGACACACACAGGTGTTTGATGAAAATATGCATGCATGTGCGAATACATCCTTTGCTATTTGACAGATTTTTAAACACCCCAGAAAACACACTTCAAACTTCTCCCTTTAAGGAGGAAGCTCACCTTTCAGGGTAGCTACAGCTTCTCCCACCTGTCGCAGGAGGAAAGCCCCATCTTCCACGTCTTTTAGAGTAACTACTCGGCCAGCCGATGTGGAGTCCTTCTTCAAGTCTTCAACGAAGTCTTCGAGCTCACTGGGGGAGCAAGCAGACCAGTAGATGGGAGTGAACACGGAGGCCCTCAAAAAGGACAGGTGTGGTAGCAAGGGCTCACCTGGGCCCCCTCTGTATACTGTGTCCCAGCCCCACCCCTCGCCTTCCACTGAGATGGTGGCAGCACATCTTAGAAGAGTAGCTTGGTTTGGCTTGAAACATTCTGAGGTGTAAGGCAGGTGCAAGATTTTCCCAGAGCCTGATCACGGGGAGGCCCAGGTTGGCCAGAGGGAAGATGGTGGCTGGCTGACAGAGGACCCACTCTGCATTTTCAGTGGTGCTGATGCCAACTAAGGAGGGGCCTGTGCATTTTGTGATGTGACAGAGGAGAGAGAGAGAGTGTGCATGCTGCAGGGGAGCAAAACAAGGAGCCAGGACTGGTTTATATCAGGCTTCTCAACCTTGGAACTTGACATTTTGCACTGGATAATTCTTTCTTGTAGGGGCCTGTCCTGAGCATTGTAGGATGTTTAGCAGCATCCCTGCCCTCTACCCACTAGATGCCAGCAGCACCCTCCCCCAACTTGTGACAAACAAGAATGTCTCCAGATATTGGTAAATGTCCCTGGGGGAGAGGAGAGAAGGGGAGGGGAGCAAGCTTGCCCCTGACCGAGAATCTCTGTTTTATACCAATTGTCCCATCAATAAGGATTGACTTTCCTCTCCAATCTACAAAGAGAAAAAATGATCACAGGTCTGATTTCTGGGTGTGTGTGTGTGTGTGTGTGTGTGTGTGTGTGTGTGGTTCTCTCTCTCATACACACACACACATTCCTTAGGGTACTGCCAGTTCCAACAGCACTAAATTAAGATTTTCCACTTCAAAAAACCAACCAACCAACCAAACAGACAAACCAACAACAACATCCTGTCTCCTGGGCACATTAATAACCCCATCCTAAACGCACGTTTATATTATTTCAGTTCACCTGTAAATCTGACAACAGAAAACCTCTCTTAAAGAAACGGGAAAAGAACTTTGAGAGAGGAAGAACCACTAGGTGGCAGTAAGTGAACAGCTATTCCACATGCTGGAGCCATGGCTGTGGAGCAGGCAGTGTGAAAAGAGGCACAGTGTCTCTGCAAAAAGACGGCCCACCAAGACCCTCCACACTAGGTGGGCAAGCGGATGGAACTATGGATGGCATGGCAGCTGCGGAGTCAGGCAGGACATCACATATGTTCAACAAGGACCAGGAGGCGAACAACAGATACCTCCACCTTCAAGAAGAGGGATGGAGTTTTTGATGCTTTCATTCTGTTATGGAAAATGGACCATAATTGCCTATGACCCCTTCAGATGAAATGATGCAGCTTCAGGACCAAAAGGGACAGCCTCATTTGCTCGTTGTCCACATCTGCAAACTATGGAAAGGCACCCAGTGTTAGGTGACCCTGCCCACAGTAAACTTCCTATAGCTACCGCATCCCTGAGGTGGAGAGAATGTGGGCCGTCTCTCAGAAGAGCTCTAAGTATAGTAACTCTGTATGGAAAAAGTTCTTTTCCATTTCGTAACCAAACAGAATTACTTTAGTGTGTAGACTGGACACACTGTCCAATCCTTCTAAGCTTTGATGGAAAAGCTAAGACCCAAATTTATCATGATTCCATTAACAACCCACAGGCCTGCCAGGTCGCAATTAATATTCCAAGGAGCTGTCATCTGATCCAAAGTCAGTCTGCCTAAAATTCTATTTTAATCTTCTGCACAATGTGGCACTTGGATTTCATAACCCTGCACACAGGAGATGCTTAAATGTCACAGCTTTTCCTTTATTGATCATGGAACATAACACAAATGTGTACTGATATTACTGTACACAACAATGTCACCTCTATTCATATGTTTATGATATCTATCATAGATAAAGCATTCAAATAAAATTTGTTCATTCAAAATGTAAAAGAGGGGCTGGCCCAGTGGTGGCTAAGCGCACGCGCTCCGTTTTGGTGGCCCAGGGTTTGCAGGCTCGGATCCCGGTCGCGGACCGGCGCACCACTTGTCAAGCCATGCTCTGGCGGCGTCCCATGTAAAGTAGAGGAAGATGGGCACAGATGTTAGCTCAGGGCCAGTCTTCCTCAGCAAAAAGAGGAAGATTGGCAACAGATGTTAGCTGAGAGCTAATCTTCCTCACCAAAAAAAAAAAAAAATGTAAAAGAGACCATAGAGCTAAAATGAATACTAAGAGTAAATTTTCAATATTATAGTAATCAATATGACTTTTGAGATATGAAGTCTGCTCAAAAGAATGTCAGATGTTCACAGATGCTAGGGTTTATAGGTAAATCCATTCTATTTGTTGAAGTTGCTTTTCATTCTACCTTAGTTAAAAAGAAAGCATTAATTTGTTGAAATATAGTTCATCTGACTGTTATTAGAAGCCTAACTATTATTTCCATGTAGAAACCTACCAAAGAGAAATTATCTTGATCCAATTTCTCTCCGTAGTTGTAGACCCAAATTTCATTTCTCTACCATCTGAATAGCTCACCAGCAACTTATCACGATCCCCAAGGGAACTTAATTTCCAGTGTGTGTGAGTGTGTGTGTGTCTGTGTGTGGAAGGAGAAAGGCAAGGGGAGGAGAGGAAGAGGACTAGGAGGATGGAGGGGGGGAGGGGGAAAGAGAGGTTGAGGGAAGATAGTATTTTTTTCCTAATGTTTCAGAGTTGAAATTCCCAGCTGTCTTTTGTAACCCGCTCTGTCTTACCACTCTGATCCATCCAATCAGTCCATTTTGCATTTGATTCCTTTTCCCATTCCAATTTCTACTACTTGAGTCAGGCTTTACTGACTTCTGTCTGGACTGTTCTAGTCCTTTCCAATATGGTTTCCCTGACGCCAATCTTTCCCCCCTCAGTCAGTCCCGACATGATCGCTGGAAGGACCTATCTGAAATACAGCTCTGACTTTGCTACTTCCTTGATAAAAAGCTTCAGTGACCTCCTCATCAGGACAGGCAGTAACTCTTAAAGGGGAAGATGCTTCAGAATCTCCTCTGTACCTTTGTAAAATGCACACTCCTAAGCTCCCTCCAGAGAAATTCTGAATCTGGGGTTGGACCCAAGAACTTTCATGAAAAGCCAGAAATCCAGGTTTCTGTTACATGATCTTCCCATCTTGGTAACCAGGCCAGACAGACATCAAGCAGGCATGCAGGGCACAAGTATGGTCTAAGATATGGGTGGGTACCATGCAAATGCAAATGGCGCAACCCAAATACGAGACATGATTAGTATCTTGTACCCAACTCTCCCACCAAACTGGACTACCCCCAATTCTCCAAGGACATCCTGCACTTCCTGGTCCCGAGTCTTGTTAGTTCGCAGGGTTCCTCTGCCTGGGAAGCCCCACTCTGTAGTCTCCACTGATGAAGTCCCACCTGTCTGCAAGGCCATCTCAGTTCAGTCTAATAAACCATTTGTGAGACCCTACTACGCATGGCACTGCGCGTAGCCTGGGGGCATATGAAGAATAACCTATTTCAGTTTAAGTCTTCCTGATCCCTGAGGCCAGAAGCAATCTCTCCTTTGTGTAGGATCACCTGGCACCTGTAAATCACCTGTTTTGTGCTATATGCATATTCATAAGTTCTGCTTTGCTAGATCCTCAAGGGGCCCTGTGCACATCTTATTCATGTGTGGCCATCCCACTAAGCTGACCAGATAAAATCCTCTCATGACATGTTTATCCAACTCCCCTTCCTTTTCATTCCTATACTGGGCTACAGTCTTGGGATACTATTGAGCTTAAAGATGCCTTTTCTGGGCCAGAAGCAAGAGTTATCTCAGCTAACCAATAATCACAACTTTCAAAGGAATGAAATGTACTTTTTCATAATTTAATTGGAAAATTTATAAAAATATTATTAAAAGGGTATATATTTTTAAAGAAGTTTTCAAGAAGAATCTTGAGACCTAGTTTTAGACAACTGGCCTGTCACAAAAACATTTCAGACAAATAATAGCCTTATTACCTCATGGTGGGTGATTAACTGTCTATAAATTCATGAGCCAAATAAAATTTTAGAAGCTATTTTGAGATGTCGAACAGTGGTCAAATGTAATTTTTTGAAAATAATAACTCAAATTGAATTTTTTTCTCTAGACTGCTACTGAGGAACATTGTAATTTTAACACACATTGGGTTGGCACCTGAAGTGATATAAACTACAGCTCAGATACCAGATAGATGATAGAAAACAACACTTTCCATGATGGAAACTTCTGGTGATTCTGGTCATGAGAAGAATTTGAAAGTTGCTCCCTTACAATCCCAATTTGGGAGATTCGAGCTTTCCAAGAAACAAAAGAATTACCAACACTAGAAGAACCCACAAAAATTATTCATTATACTGAAAGGTGAAATAGTTCTATGATAAATCTTCATTGCATAACAAAACATACATTAACATAAAAGATTGCCTGCCCCAGGGGCTGGGAAGTAATAAAACTCTGCTCATTTCAATAGTGGGACTTGATAGATGCTTTCAATAAGAACTTTATAAGATGAGGAACGTTCAAAGAAGCATCTTTCATTCTGGATCGGACATCCTTTACATTTAAATTTTTCTTTCACAATTTTAACTAAAGTTGAATAATAGGATGATAATTTTAGTGCTGTGTTATTTTGGCTATTAGTTTTAATTTATTGAGATTAAATGCAGACTTCCCATTTACCATTGGGTTTTGCCATTTGCTCCTTTTAATTTTATGTTCCTGAGCCCACAAAAGAGTGTGGTGCTCCAACTTTTAAAGAGACTAGCTTAAGGCACCTGAGGATTGCTGAATTCTTTGAGCCTGGATGCAGGGGTGCTAAGTGTCCTTGGATACCCAGAACCAGCAGAACGCTAACTTGTACACAGTAGGTGCTCAATAAAGAGACAGGGAGGGAACACCACCGAGAAAGGGCCTCCTCATTGGCAAAGACACATTACCTTGCAGGTTAAACAGCTAAACACGCAGCCAGTGCCAGGCACTCACCATAACTTCTTGACGATCCTCTCCTCCTCACGCAGGTATTTTTGTCTCTCTTGCTCCACCAGGACGCGCTGTCGTTGCACGGGATCCTCCAGTCTCTTCATCGTTTCAATCACTTTGCCACTGATCTCCAGCTCAGCCTTCTTCATCATCGCCCTCAGCAGCTCCTGGTTCTGCAGCTGTTGAACAGAAGAACTCAACCTCAATTAGCTCTGCCTGACGGACATTGCGGCGAGTGAATTCCTGGCAGCCTTCAGCCGTGGGTTTGGATAAACAGCCCCACAGCTGACTCTTTCTTCATTTCAATGAGAAAGGGAAGGGAGCAATAACTGTATGTAATACTCAGCCGGTGTCTGAGTTTTAGCGGCCAACTGACAACCAGACTTTCAAGTCTGTGTCTGCAAAAAATTGGATCCTTTCTACACTCTGGTCAGAGCATCACGGACAACAGGCATAAACCCCCCACTGACATGTTTTTATCAGGAGCAGCCAAGAGCACCAGTTTTGGAGCCAGGCAGACTTTGGATCAAACCCTAAATCTTCTCCCTGCTACTGTGAGACTCTGGGCACGTTACTTAGACTCTCTTGGTCTCCATTTTCTTATCTCTAAGGATGGGGATTCACTTCCCTGGGCTGGGCTACTCTGAGGATTAAATGAGATACCGTTTGGTATACAGTAGCTACTCAACAAAAGTTGATTTGGCTATGGACTATTTCAGCATATTAGTTAAAAGAGAATCTGTGTCCCTCTTGTTTATATGGGTCCACATACCAAATACCCTGTAATCCCAGGACCTGATGTTGATGGTGCCAATGATAATGATTCCAGATGAGTCCAAATCTCATGGAAATTTACTACTTTCCTGGACTATACCTGGGCCACTTGCATACATAAGATCACAATTTCCAGAGTTTTCAGAGCACTCTTCTTTCTCACCCTAGAGAGTATGGGATATGCAAATTTGCACCCAGGCTTCACAAGAATCTAGTCAAACACTTGAGTCCTGTTTCCAAGAATGTGTTAAGTATTTCCCTGGGGCCAGACAATTTTCTGACAGCACATACATCCAGTGAATTCATTCAATCAGCCTCCAAAACAGTAATTATATTACACCTATTATACTATCCCCAAAGTTCCCCTGAAATTTCAATGAGTTGTTATTGTTTCCTTTGTTTTCTGGTTTTGTGGACCGTTCTACAACTACTGTAGGTCACCTCATTGGAGTGATATCTTAGTCAACTGTCTATTATCTGTACAAATTGAGGGGAAATGCCATCTGACCATGTTACCACCCGCTGGAAACCTCATCATGGCTTCCCTTTTCTCTGAATAAAGATAAAACATTTCAACATGAGCCACGAGCAGAGCCACCATCATGTTCCAACAACAGCACGGCACAACGATCAACCGGCCATCCAGAGAGACCCTGCCTGGGTTCAATTACTAGTTTTACCACTTGGTAGCTGTGTGGCTGTGGGCAAGTTGTTAATCTCTGTGTCTATCCATAAAAGGGTAATAGTTCATATCCCACAGGCTGGTAATGGAGATTCGTTATGCTTGGCACAAACCCGGCTCTCAGTACATACCAGCTATTGTTATCAGGGAGCATAACGCTGGGGGTGGAGCCTGTGGTTTTGTCTGGGAGGGAACCAAATAAAATGTGCTACTCTTGGGTAACCTCCTCTATATGACTCATGATCATGCTCTCACTGCTTTTGCTAATAATGTCTTTTTATTGTGGTCTTCAAAAGAGTCAGTCAGTATATTGCTGAAAGGCACCATGTTTGCAGACAACACACAGAGGTCAACTTCCTCCTATGCTCTCTGCAGCTGCAGCTCTGCTCACAAGGTGTAGGGCAGTCTGGTCCTTTCCTACATTGCCAGCCTCCTCACACTGCATGCACCTACACTGTCTGCTGAGGCCACATGAACATCCTTTTAGTTCTTCTGACTGGCCAAGCTCCTTTCTGCCACAGGGACTTTGCACATGCCATTCCCTCCACCTGGTTAATTTCTGCTCTCCACAGAGTCTCCAGGACACAGTGCCTGGCACATAGCAGGCATTCAGTAGGTATGTGTTGAATGCATGAATTAAGCAGTAATGTCAGTAATAACAGACAACGGAGAATCCAAAATTCTTTCCTAGATGGTAGAAATATGGAGTGACCCTGGGGTCAGCGCTAATTCCCTTTCTTGCTCTGACTGCAGTTGTTGTTCAATACACACAGCAACACTGCCTGCTATCAAAATGGTATGCTCCAATTCCATACCATGTGTCACATCCCACAGAGCTATTTTCTTTGGGGGGGGCAGTGAGGAAATGAGTGGTAATGAGTATGTAAGGAACAAATAAGTAGATGATTAAATGTGTCTAAAAGTGGCTGATGCATGGATCCACCCCTGAGAGATTCTGATTTAACGGGTCTGAGGTGCAGCCTCGGCACTGGGAATATTTTAAACTCCTCAGATGATTCTGATGTGCCACCATGGATGAGCATCATGGTCTAAGAAAAGGGCTCTTGAATGGATAGATGATGTCACTGTGCCATGAGCTGTATGGCACAGCCCTCTGCACCCACCCCTCTTGCATAAATCTCACAGACAAGCTCCAATAAAGTTACGGTCCAGTTAGCAGTGGATATTAACAGTGGCTATCAAGCTGGAAATTATATTGCTAGAATATTTAAACTCCTTAAAATTGAAAGTTGCAAGATGGGAAAGGGAAGCGCTGAGAGGTTAAGGGACTTGTGTCAGAGTCCCTCGGTCACTGCAGGGCAGAATCAGGATGAGAACTGGTCTTTTGAATTCAATCCAGTCATTCTTCAACCACCATCTGCTAGAAATAGAATGCCAAAGAGCATGGCAGGGGGCACGTCTGTTTCCTTTCCAGCCACGAGTACAGTTTCCGGCACACAGTGGATACCCTACACATATCTGCTGCATGAATGACTTTCGCTACAATGTTTCTGAGAAGCCTACGGACATATCAGAAGAATGCACCTGTATGTAATATTCAAATTATTGAACTGGTAATATGATCAGATCCCACTGAAATTATTCCACTCAAAGAGGAGTGAGGGAGAGAGCTGCTTGGAGTTCTAGGCTGTAGGATCCTCCTTCCCAGAAAGAGGGGCTTACTGGAGTCAGCTAGAGGGACTAAAGAGGGAATTCTCCTTAACCCACTGGCTGGCACATCAGCAACAATGAGTTAACTGTGAAGGAATAATCGTGCACAGGCTCTCTTGCCACTTCCCTCTAGTCCCCCAGCCTCCCTGCCTGGCGTTCTTGCCACCGACTCCAAGACGTCATCCTAGCAGTGCATAAAAAGTGATGCTGAAGGCAGGATGTAGGTCAACATCTCTCTCTAAATGCTTCAAATAAATTAGTCATCAGCACTTCCATTCTTTACCTTTATTTTTGCTTAGCAGTGATACCTATATTTTAATTGTTAACTTAAAACAAACACACCGCTATTAAGGTATAGTTTACAAACAATCAAATATACCCATTTTAAGTGCACAGGTCAATGAGTTTTGACAAATGTTGACACCAATGTAACTACCACTAAAAAGATAAGACAACATTTTTTATCACCCTAGAAAATTCTTTTATGACTTTTTGTAATCAGTCCTCCAACCTCTAGCCCAAAACTACCGATCTATTTTCTGTCCCTATAGATTAGTTCTTCCTGTTCTAGAATGTCATTTAAATGAAATTATACAATATGTAATCTTCTGTGTCTGGCTTCTTTCCTTCAGGATATTGTTTTTGAGATCCAGCCATGACGTTGAGTGTTGAGTTCATTCTTTTTAATGCTGACTGATATTCTGTTGCATGAGTAAATCCACGTATGATTTAGTACAATGTACATAATAAAATTTTTATATTTTTACATATTGACTTGATTATGGTGATCTTGCTTAAATTCACTTATTTCTGGTAGCATTTTTTGTAGATTCTTTCCGATTTTATATGTACACAATCATGTCATTTGTGAGTAAAGCCATTTAGACTTTCACTTTCCCATCTGTATGCCTTTTATATCTTTTTCAAGCTTTATCACACTTGCTAGGATTTTCAGTACAGTACTAAATGGAAGCGAGAGAAGGCTTCTTTGGTCTTATTTCCAACCTTATGGGGAATGTGTATAGTGTTTCACCATTAACTATAATGTTTTCTGTAGGGTTTTCAGACGTGCTTTATCAGGTTAAGGAAGTTTCCTTCTACTCCTAGAGTGCTAAATGTTTTTATCAGCAGTATTAAATTTTGCCACGTTTTTTCTCCCTTTTCTGAAAAGATATGATTTTTCTCCTTTATTCTGTTAATAAGGTCAAATACATTGATTTGTTTTTTTTTTATTAAAGCAATCTTGAATTCCTGGGATAAAACCCTGGAAAATGTATTATCCTTTTTATATATTGCTGGATTCAATTGCTGCTATTTTGTTAAGGATTTGTTACATATATTTTCACAGGGCATATTTGTCTGTGGTTTTCTTTTCTTATAATATCTTTGACTGGTTTTGCTCTTAGAGTAGTGCTGGCTTCATAAAATGAGTTGGGAAGTATCCTCTATTTTCTGAAGGAGTTTTTTCCTTCAATAGCTTTAAAGAGGTCATTCCATTGTCTTCTAACTTAACTTTTGTCTCTGATGAGTAGTCAGCGTTAATACTTATTTATGTTTCCCTGTATGTAATGTGTCTTTTTTCCCCCCTCTGGCTGCTTTTAAGATTTTTCTATTTATTCCTGGTTTTTAGCAATTTGATTACAATACACTTTGGTGTGGTTTCATTTGTGCTTATCATTCTAAGGGTTTATTGAGCTTTTTTGGTGTCTGGATTGACATTTTTCATCAAATTTGGAAAAATTTCAGCCATTATTCCTTCTAATATTCTTCTCTTCCTCTTTGACCACTTAATATTGTTCCACAAATCACTAAGTTTCAGTTCATTTTCTTCAGGCTTTTTTCTCTCTGTACTTCAGTTTGGACAGTTTCTACTGCTATGTTTTCAAGTTGACTAATATTTTGTTTCAGCAGTGATTAATCTTCTATTAAGTCCATTCAGATATTGTGTTTTTCAGCTCTCAAAAGTTCCATTTAGATATTTTTTATATCTTCCATTTCTTGTCTCATTGTGTTCATGTTTTCCTTTAAATCCTTGACAATAATTATAATAGC